CAGATTGGAATTTTGTGTGTGTCGTTTTTTTAATTACGGTTCTATCAGGGGAGATAAGGAGATGATAATGTTCGGTTTGGAGTCCGGTTTATATCGGTTTAATGTTTTGATCTCAGGGCCAGTGTTAATTAAGCTCTATTGATCCGACTGTTAATTATGGCTTTTTCGAATATTGACTTGTAGATCTAATTTCGATTTTTTTCCATGAATAAATAAAAAAAATTAAAACTAAAATATTCAGCATAAATCTAGAATAATTGATTTTTTTTTAGAGTAAATGTTGTTTTGGTTAGGTATTATCTAGATTGGTTTTAGAAACACTAATCACCCGTAATTTTTTTTTTTTGAATTACAGATCTGTGTATATTATATATTTGTAGATAGTTTTAAAAAATTCCAATGTGTCATGATTTCAACAAAAGTAACCTAAAATGAATGTCACATACTTACTTGAGATGTTCTAAGGTTAAAATAAATTTGTTTTTGGAGCATAGTTACTAAGAGTATGAAATCTTGACATATTACTAATACATACTAAGATAGGCCTTGATTAATTTAATACAAGTTAATGCAAAAATCTTTCTTACGATTATGTTTTATAGATTTTATAAAAATACAAATTTCTTTCACCACAATGGAGTTGGAAACCCCTAAAAATAAATCTGAATATAACTTTTTTGGCTAATAAAAATAATCAGAGTTTTGGGCAGCCCATATTTGAATCTTCTGGGCTCATATCAGCCCACGAAGTTGTAAGCTACACCTTTGCCAATTTACAAAATATACATTATGGCTTTATATTAAGCAAAACAGGCCATATGGGCTTAGGATGTTCTCCGAATCTATCCCAAACAGATTCGGACCAACTCTAAACTCCCACGAATAAACAAAGTTACTTGCTAAAACGCAAATTGTAGAACGTGTAATTGTGTTTAGAATAAGTTTTTTTTTGTTTTTTTTGATAAACTGTGAGATTTCTGAATTTTTGGTTCATAATCTCTTCGGTATCCAGAGTCAATTTTTAGATATTTTTATTTAAAAAATAATTGTTCGTACCAAAGAGGGTATGAACCCGGATCACAAAAAAAACCAACGTTTTTGTGTTTAGAATAATTCATTACTCCATATGTTCTTCATCTTACAATAAGCATTTGATTACTTGTTTATTCAAATATTGGTTTGTTTGATATGATTTGAGAAAACAACATTATTGAAAAATAAAAGTTTTACAAATGTCGAATTTGATACATTATCACTTTCATCTTTTTATATATTAATCTTGATGGTGATGATAAAATTAAATGGGTTGATGTAATTTTGGATCTTGACTCTACAATTTAAATTCGGAGTATTTTATCTTTTTTGTATATATGTGCTACTTGGTGCGAGTCTTATATTTTGTTTCTTTGGATTTAAAATGTGTTCGATTTTATATCTATTTGTTACATTTACTTAGAGTTGTATAAGATTTACAATATTATTTTCCCAACAATATGCAATATGCAAATTTGAATTCAACTGTGTATCATATTAACATCATGATCATTATTACAAACTACCACTGATCTATACGTAATGCGTAATATTATATTTCCCGTGTAGATCACTAAAATACGTGCATATTCGGATATGCATGGATACTGACTTACAATACATTAATCCAAGAAGAGAAAACTCATTCAAGTGAATAAAATTTCGTATGTTATTTTTTCC